GTGTGTGTGTGTGTGTGTATGCGTGTATGTATGCGTGTGTGTATGCCTCTGTGTGAGTGTATGTGTGTGTGTGTGCGTGTGTGTGTGTCAGTCAGTCAGTTGGTCTGTTTGTTTGTTTGTTTGTTTGTTTGTTTGTTTGTTTGTTTGTTTGTTTGTTTGATTGATTGATTCTTTTTTAAAGGGGAGGGGTGGGGTTGTAGTGTGTCAAGTGGCAGGACAACAATTGGTAACAACAGATTCTTCACTGAATCTGTTAGTGTGTTTAAGGTTATAGAATTATTATTGCCGTTGGCGTCGTTATTTTGTTGTTGTTGTTGTGTTGTTGTGTTGTTGTTGTTGTTGTTGTTGTTGTTGTCGTCGTTGTTGTTGTTGTTGTTGTTGTTGTTGTTGTTGTTGTTGTTGTTGTTGTTGTTGTTGTTATTGTTGTTGTGTTTTTGCTGTTGCTGTTTCTGTTTTTTTATATGACATTGTTGTTATGGTGCTGTTAGAATTTCTGTTGGTGGTGATGATGATGATGATGATGATGATGATGATGATGATGATGATGATGATGATGATGATGATGATGATGATGATGATGTGCAGTCAAGTTGTTGATGGGATGGCGATGCTGATGGTTGCGAGGATAGTTCATATACATACGAAAGCATTCCCAGAGTACAAAAGTGTCATTTTTCAAAACCTGTGGACTAAACAAATTCATGCTCTTATAAAACCCCTTACAACGAGGACATAAAAATGATAGATGGTTGTGCTTGCGTGGCTGTTTATCAAACGACAAACATTTTTGGACCATTCCTAAGTGATGAATTTCTGAATTCTAGTTTACACGTACTATCTTTAAGGATCTTTTTGGAGCGTCGCATTGGTCCTATTGCCAACAGGAGATTTAACCAAAAATCCTTTCCAAATATCTCAGTTTTAAAAATGAGCAGTATAGAACACACACACACACACACACACACACACACACACACACACACACACACACACACACACACACAT